AATTTCAACGTGTTATCATTTTCGAGACCTGCAATAAAATCACGATAGACCGACTTATAACTCGTTTCGGCTGGCAATAGTGTAAGCGATTGAGTAATGCGATTGACATTTCTACCTGGACTTGGCAGTCCATGAATTTCCGCATAGTTTTCGAGAAAGTTCTTCACAGCGGTAGCAACGTTTATATCAATGGTTATTTTGGTTTTCCGCGGCATTCGTTTTATATTACCATGAACACGTGGTATATACCATTCGTCGCCAAGTGATTTCTAACGTTTTCGAAATGAATGCGACAAATTCCTAACATATTGAGATACGTTTTCTGACAAATTGGCGTATTACGATCTCAGTAGTAAAATGTTCGCTTATTAGTACGCGTTTTCTTTCTGAGACGTCGACTGGTGGTTATTTCTCCGCCATTCATCGCTTTCAGTTGGGCCATTAAAAATATGTCTTGCTCGGATCGAGAAAGAGCTTGAAACGCCTCACGTAATTCGGCAAAATTATCTCTCGGAATCATTTATGAACAACCACAATTGCAACCTGTCTCCAAGAAACGTATTGCTTTTTCGTATTCGATGGAAGTGTTATATTCGTTATTTAACATATACAGATAGTCCTATATATAAATTTTATGTTTCACTGTTTTGTTACTTTTGGCTGTCATTACTGCATTATTGTAACTATCATTATATGCCTGAGATCCGATTCCATCCTTTCTTGAAAGCGACATCATATTTCTGTAACTTTCTTATTCCTGAAAAGATTTCATACATATTAATATAATAAAACGTTTGCATTGATTATTTGGTTTCATTTTTATTAGCAAAACTAAATTGCCATTTGTATAAATTCATTCTAAAAGGCATTCCTAGACTGCGAAATTTTAAAGAATACATGACATAAAAGCCACTTTAAACGTTATTGAAATATTAACTAAGATTGTTGTTAAGTACAATCAGTGAGTCATTAATATAACTAAAGTTATCAGAGCTATCCATGAATCGAGCACTCATTCGCACATTTTTAAACCATTCATCATGCAAGAAGTGTACAATATTAAGTCTGCAAAGTTCTGCCTTAGATGGATAATAAGGATTTTGGGTTGAATTATCCTCACATGTGAAATGTACTATCCAAACTTCTTCCGCGGATAGCTTGTTCCCATATTCAATTGCTCGCACAAAGTGTTCGTCGAGTTGTGTTCTGGTCGCAGTAGCTAGAAGTTCCAAAACAACCGTCTGAGATGGAGTTTTGACTACAATATCACTATATGTGTGTTTATCTTTTTCATTGACACAATATTCTACTAAATGCCACTGAGAAGTGACCTCAAAATTGCGTTGTTTGGAAATCCAATTGATTAAGATTCTGTTCATCTCTGTATCATAGGTGCTTTCTCGGGGAACACGTTTGTTTTTCTGACCATTCACATATACATCACGTGCTGTTTTAAATGACCGATAGAATGCTCGGGAAATGATGTCTTGGTCAAAGAACTGAACAACTGTCTTCAAAATGTTGATAATATCAAGGAATCCATCACGTGTTTCAGGAACTGCAACTGTTGGAGTGGACCTGAATAATTCAGGAATGACTCTCTGCCGAATGAGCTCATCTACAAGAACAGATGACATTTTAAATCTATCTTTGCTCTCTTCATCCCTAAGTAGTACACCCTCAGCTGTTAAGAATTCTGCAAAGTTTCTTTCTTCATTGTCAACAATGTGTACTAAATCAAAGTATCCTATGAATGCAGATCGAACAAGCTGCATAGCTTGCCTGGCTTTATCTTTGGTAAGTGTATGGACCATCTTTCTGAAGGTGGCATAATCAAGCACTGATTTTTGCAATGAATTGATGGTGAAATTCAACCAGGTTAAGGAGTCAAGCCTTCTTCTTTCATCAAGTTTTCTCAATAAATGTACATAAATAGCTTTTCCGCAAAGACATACAAGGCCCGCATGCCTGACAAATTGACAGAAAGTGAATTTTTGACTTCAGATTATCACGTGATTATACGGCAAATTTCACATACCCATTTGTTCGCGTGTAAATGTCCTCAATGATTGCTGGATCAATGGTGAACTCGTAGTCTTGTGCAAAGTCTCTATACAATGACTGCACTTGTTCCTTCGTGAAATTTGGATTTGGAAATGGATCCTTCACATTGAATGGCGACATACTTTTGTTTGAACTCAAATGTAAGATGCTGAAAGGACCGATGGCCACGGAGGACCAGAGAGAATAACTATCTTTTGCGTTTTTTATGCCGCGGATGATCCCAAGGAATGAGGTTCTAACTTCATCACTTGCTTCATACAATACATCATACTCATCGACAAACAAAACGACCTTTTGTTTACACCTGTCTTTCCCAAGTAATCTAGCGAATTCACTAGCGGATTTGATACCAGTAAAGTTGATATTGGAAGCGACACTAGTTTCAAATGAATGGCTTAGCGATATCCAGAATTTATCTACAGATTCTATGTTAATCATCTCGAGAGTTATGCTGTAAAGAAATGGAATGGACAATCAGACTCTGCAAATGTGGTCAATTGACTTAAACAAAACTTATTAACCAAAGCTTACTAAACACAAATAAAGCCTTCGCGTATCAACTGTTCCTTAGCTTGAATCACGCGCGTGGATTTTCCTGAAGCGCGCGCACCATATAAAGCGACGAACTCTCCTCTCCGAATCATATCAAGGAGTGGAACACTTTCCCCCGATGGATCAACGAAGTATACATTGTCACGCTCTGCATCTGGAATGGCACTATTAACTGTTCATCTTTTTTTATTCGCTTTCGTAGCTGTAGCGAATTATTTGTCAGAACAATGAAGTAAAATGCATGGAAACAAAGTTATACCGTATATGTCTTACGTTCTTCCGTTACTTCCCTTTTTCTCTTTAGCTCTAAGTTTTCAATTTTATCTTTTATGAGCATTATAAATAAAAAGCCAATGCTAACTTAGTAACATTGTCCTATAATTCACAACAAAGAAACTCGTAGTATTATTATGTCTACTCTACCCTGTGTACACACTACTCTACATCCCCAACGCCCGAGTCACAAAGTCGTTACCTCCACCCAGTTGACCAAGAAGTGTCTTCTGCTCTTCTTCGTATACTTTCTCGGTTATTAGTCCTTCTTCGAACAGTTCTTTCAACTGTTTGAGACTCTGTTTGATGTCAGTCATTTTTCTTGTTTGTTTTCGATGAAAGATGCTGTGCGCGATGTGATCTAATATACTAACGCTGATCAGTGGCTTAATCAATGACGTGTACTAGGAACTTTCTAGACGTTTCATAATGTAACCATTGTTCGTCATTGTATGCAGAAGGTGACCAATGACAACAGACGCGCAGAAATTGAATAAACCCACATTTTAGAATGATCGTACACATAATGACTACCGTATTACGTATGTAAAAAGTAAAGCTTCGTTTACTTGAACAGAGATCAAAGTAACAATCTCCAACAAACGTTATTCCTGTAATTGTAGTTTATATGAGTACAATGATATGAATAGAGACCTCGTTTTCGTTAAGTTGGGACAATTGTCGAGTTTGGTTTTTTTGCTCAAAGATTTGAATATGTATTGCAAAAGGTTAACGTAATCAGACATTTATAATTGATACACGTATTTTGTCATCTTGACTTTATTATTTCTTTAAAACAAAATAGATATATTTGAAGATTCACTAGAGCGATTGCATGGGAGGAAATACTCGGACCCAAAGCCATTAACGAGTACCCCTATACTTTGGTCGCGCTAGTGAATCTATGCTACACAGTATTATTAATGCTATCAACGTCTTCTTCTCCCCTCTTCTTTTCTCTATTAATCCATTCCTGTATTGCTTCGACAGTCATTTTCCGCGGATTGGTTTTTCGTAGGTAGAAGTTTTTTAGAGTTGAGGCTGCAATGCCTTTTCCTTCACGTAACGTGTAGATTTCAGATGCCATTTTCTTAAACGAAAAAGTTGAGTCCAGCTCAAGTTTTTTATCAAATAACTTTTTAAAATCTTTCCACAAATTTTCGATGTTCTCTAGATATTTTCGCTCGCTGAGTGATTTAGTGAATCTAGATTTTACTTTAGATTTTCCTGGCTCGACTCGAATTATTGTTTCAAGCTTTTGGTTTATATTGTCGAGCTGATTGTAAGTCTTATAATGCAGCGAGAGACCGAGAATAAGTCCGATTAATATCCCACAAAGGAATTCAACGGAAGTGAACATTTTGCAGTTTTTTATGGAATAAAATGCGTTTGATATTGATTATTTAATGTTTGTAATTTTGATCGATTGTAAACTTGTTTAAGTGAAAATGTGGTGGAATGGTGCTGTTTTTATAACCAATTTCCAGTCGTCAAAAACGCCGATCAGAATCATAAGCGTTCATTAGCATATCATTACTTTGAAACAATTGATTTGCCGATCAAACGGTTTTTGCGCATCGTCTCCTATAGTTTATTAATTTTCATACTTACTCATTATTCCTAATACGATAATGGCTTGCTGGTCATGAATTGTGTAAGACGTGTAGTATTGGGGCACAGCGAACCAAAATCATCATATTTATTGTCATACTACCTCAAAGCAAGGTATATATAGAGAATCATGGAAATTTGTCCCGATTATTGATGGTAATCCATCGATATTAAAGAGCGACTAATTGCTTATGCTTCTAGTATTAAAATTCTTCCTATAGAAGTTTGTCTTTCGACATCGCCTTTCCGATTATTAGCAAGAAAAAATTTTTTTATTTTTTTCATTTATAATATCGCTGCTATTAGAATTTCTATCATCTGCATGTTGGAACTTTGTCTGTATCGACCTTATTAACGTATCCTCCCAAATAAAAAGGCTGGTTGTACTCGGATTAAACAGAATGTTGGAATGTTTAAAGTATCTAGAGAACATAATCATCAAATATAGCTGACATTTCGACCCTTGAGGATTCGCTATCAATTCGACTGTTGCTAAACAAATGCGCGACCATTGATTGAGTTGCATGAACGAAAGTAGCTACGCATATTATAAAAAAATTCTACATCGTAAAGTGCGAAAACTAACCAGCTGCAGCAACATTCACAAATAGCACTGTCAGATAGTAAGGCGATCGTTCTATTGTTATTTAGGTATTTTAAAGAGAAAACCAAGATAAAATCTATACCAAATACCAAAGTTAATGTTTAATTCTGGACAGTTGCGAACGACGTAGTGGATTTACATACAGCAAAATACACCAGTCTCCTAGTTTACATAATTGATCTGCTTTTAATAAAAGAAATTTAGACAACTAGTAAAACTATGAAAGATTATTTTAGAAAACGCTTGGAAAATGTTATCGATTAATTGTCTAGTAATTGGTATTACATTTAAAGCGATAGCGGTTTATTAAACTATTTTAATGTTCAAATAATTCGAATTACTCTTCACGAAAAGGCATAACAACAAACACGACCATAACTACTATCAACTGCTTTTATTGTCTTTCTTTGCTCGTTCCATCAGTTCAGCTTCTATGCGATCTTTAGCATTCTGTACTTTGCACTGTAAATAAAATGATCCTCCTGTGGATTTATCATTGACTTTGAATAGATGTTCGTAATTCTGTTGAAAGAGACAGTAAAGGTTTGTTTAGTCCACAAAAGTAAACGTAATACAGTAAATTCCCCCATCTTTTGACGTCCGATTGAAACAATCAACATCAACGGTACCTTTGCGACTTGCGCCATGTCTTCCATTGCCTCTTTCTTTATGTTTAATATTTGGCATGCCTCATCAATAGTCATACCCGTCTTTCTTGTGAGAGCGTCTGCTGATACTCTAGCTGTTGATCCCGCACCGGTCGAACTACCATTTCTGGCGGCATCTGAGTCGCAGAATGTTCAAGAATTAAAACAATATAGTGACAAATTGACGTACAAGGAGAGATATTACATATGTTTATAAGAATGTAAATACAAACTCGCAGCGGCCTGCTTAGATGCTTCTATGAAAGCCCTTCCAACGATTTGAACGCCCATGACAATGATCTGTGCTATTAATCGTGCGGCCTTTATATAAGTACGCAACATTCAGTTAACCTCATCTGACATAACTGTCGAAAAGTGATCATGGTAAATACCATTTTGTTACGTATATTCAGCGGCCCAACGGTTTATTCGGAGTTGAAAAATTTATAATCACTGATCTGACAATGAGTAGTTGACGAATTGAGATTGTGGCACGTGCATTCTGTGCTCATTGCCAGATTTGTGCTAACTATTGCCGTATTAGTGTACTAGTAAATTTTAAATCCGAAAGCTATTGGACATATCCTATTACCTCCCCTACAATCACTTCTATGTCATAGTCATCAATTTTGTATAACATTCAACAATCGTTGGCGTATATGGTTATCACACACATTACATGTAAATTACATAATTATCACTTCACAGATCGAGGAAAAGGTATCACAGTGCGAGAGCGCGACTGAATCTAGATAATAAACGCGAATTTACGTATATGCTGAACTACGTCCGAAGGTAAAGCTTGGGAAAATAACCAACTGTTTAATAAGAAATGTCGCAGCTGATGCGACAAACAAGCATAGAGAGTTCACTGTAATTATAATTATTGAAAGATCAATGTAAAATTATCAGTAAAGCGAGATGAGATTTAATAGTAATTGTCATGTATGTATCGTTACAAGGTTATAACGGGTTTATGTATGATTATTTCCTAATAATGATCAACGTATTTTATGACAATTTTATTTTCAGAAGAAGCAGTAGTTTTTATTATAATATATCATTATAACGAGTAAAATTTCTATGTAAATTTGGGAGCGGCGGATAACAGGTTTGGTGTAATGAGGTTTGACTGTTAGATGGGTGTAAGATCTAAACCCGAGGCTTTTTATTGGAGAAAATACACTCGTCCCAGGATATTTTTCCGATCCTACATGTTTACCTGACACACACTTCCGTGGCAAAAGTCACCGACCACCCTCCATATTTGCAATTAAATGAGAATATTGACATAACGAGCAATGCAATCGCCGCAAAATTAATACTGAATTAGTGCACCTTCTAGACAAAAATTGCAGCATTCTAAATAGTAAAATTGCGAATTTACGTAGAGCCAACTTTTATCCTACGAAAGAGGTAAAATTAGGTTATGCGGCACAAATATTTAAAAAATCGGTAAATTTGATCCACATATCAATTTATTCTCAGTTACACTCATTTAAAGTGCAAAAAAAGCGCTATAGTATTTATAAAATCCCGAATACCTTGCTTCTTCGTTGAGAAATCGAATTTTGAATCTAGGGTGCTACTATTCGAGAGTTCGCCGACACCCCTCAAATTTGCAATTACATGCAAATATTGGCATAACGAGCAATGCAATTACCGAAACTAATACCGAAGTTAGCGCAACTAGTGTAAAACATGTTTACAAAAAAATTGTAATGTGTCAAATAGTAATATGATAAAAATTATATATGGGGCAGACTGCAACAAAACCAGACAAAGTGAACATTTGATCATGTGAGCTAAAAAAGGCTGGTGTGGCTGGAAAATGAACTAATTTAGCTGATAAAATTTTGGTGAGGCTTTGCTCGATTTATAACCGTGGCTCATACACAAATAAATGAACTAAATTTTAGTAACATTTAGACCTATTACTATGTTATAAGCGAGCGACTAGCATTCGTGTATAAAAGCAAGATGAATTCACACTTCCAAACAATAACACTTGCTGCAACGTATACTCAAATTGCAGAAAAAAAAAACTGCACATCGTTTTTCTAATCACAAGCAAACCATCTGTACTATTCAAAAAGCTTTTATTCAATAATGATGGTTCGTTATTTTGATTTCTGACAACAGCCTGCATGCAGCAAAGAAAGCTAATTCGTTTCCATTTGCAGACATTTCTCTGCAAAACTGCAGAAGCTTTCATGCTTTTGCTCTTCCTTGCTTGGTTGTTCACCAACAAGATCAACTCGCATGCCGTTTTTACCATTGCATGCTTCTCATATGTCAATAACCGCCAGCAAGCTGCTGTGCACATGGTGGTTAACAAACTGAAGAGTCTCTGCGAAATACGAGATAATTTCAAGTGGTTCAAACCAAACAACGAGCGTTGCTCTCCGAAACCAACCAAATCATACAAGGGAGACGTTTTAACTCTCTGGAACGAATTTAAACAACTCTTTGATGCGAAGAGAAAACTCGACATTAGCCTATCCGAAATGTGCTGCAAGATTAAAAGCAAGATCGAAGACTTCGGGAAGGGTATAGTCGGAACCTCTACGTTGGAGAACTTTTACAAGCAGAAAACGAATCCCAAGCCCAACAATACCTTAAAATTGATAGCGTCCTGGCTAGGAACTGAAAGGAGAGATCATGGGGAGGGAGATTGCGAAAATTAATAGTTGTGCGAGCCCAAAGAACAGGGACAGTTAATTGCCGCAGGCAGGTCTAGGGGCCGACTGCTTCCCTCCCTTGCAAGCTCGCGATTATTTTTTTGAAAGGATTTATTGATCGCTTACGCAAAATAAAACAATCTAATGTAATCTCCACGTGACGTTCATTAAATTTTCCCATGGATCTTGTCTGTCTTGTTTTCCCCTATTCTCGATTCGACTCGCGACAGCTGCATCTCTGCGCTTCATTGCTTTGCCCACTTTATTTTGCGGTGCCCGTGCTTACTACTACTTGCTGCTTTACAAGACTTTTGTCCTCTCCATAGCCCTTTATTTTTGGTTCCCTTTTCGGTGCTTCTGCTCTGGTTTACAAATCTTTCTTGTCCAGTTTTTATCCTACTTTTTGTTGATAATCATCCTCGGAAAAGAAGTAAAACAAGGGACTTCATCGACATCATGAACAACGACGTTATACCTTATTCTGGTTATACTCGTAAATGCTCTAGATAGCGATGTTTTTTTTTCCTCCTGCGGTGCGGTCAACACCACCTCAAATCTTACTAACTTTCCGTAAACGACTATTGTTCCAGATCTTGTCTCCTACCTTAAGGAGCACACAGCGCGGTCATATTCTGAATTTTTGGAACTTCATCGCAGTGTCATCCTTGATTCGCAGCCTTTTTCAGACGATTGGAGCATTCTTGACCTTACCTGGTCTCGTAGGTTTCTGAAGCAAGTGAAAAAGCTGAAGTCAGACTGCTATGAGGCTGTGGAAAAGCAGGTCATGTATTTGATTCTATTTTTAACAAGGGAGCTCCTGTCTATTGTTGTCTGGACTAGGAGTATTGGCTGTTATTCCAACCCAAGTAATGGTGATGGTAGCTCCTGTCTATTGTTGTCTGGACTAGGAGTATTGGCTGTTATTCCAACCTCACCATTGCGATTGACTCATCTTCTGTGAAGTTAGGCTCTTTGCTTGCACTATAGAGAATGTTGGACTTATTGTTACTTTATTTCTTTATACAGGTCAACAGTCAACGCGAAAATAAAGGTTTGCAAGCATATTGGGATGGGATTATATACGAACGTCTAAAGGTAAGCTTTCGCTTTGTGCACAGTATTTATGTGCTTGCATAAAATGATTATTAATCTCTTGAAACGCAGATGAGAGCAGAGCGGGCACATCTTATTGGAAGTATGAACATCTATGGTGAAGTTGCTGGATACAATTCTAAGAACATAATTACAGACGTTCCCAGCGAGAGATTGAGGAAATATCTGACCATCCAAAATCAACAATACATAATACTATAGAACGTTATTGTAAAACTGGTACAGTGACATCTGCTCCAGGCACTGGGAGGACCACCAATACTGACAGACAGAGATAAGCGACATCTTGAATAGTTGTTCAGATTGCTTCAAAAGAATCTCAGAAAGTGTATACCAAAATCTTATTCCTACTATAAATTGTAGATTAAAGGCAGTTTTAAAAAATAAAGGCAACTAAATATTATCGTATACTACCGTGAATAACGATCGAATAAGCACCCTCAAGATTACAGTTTAATACGTAAGTAGACACAATAATAGTACGCTTCTGGTTACCGCAATTACTGTTGTAAGCTACCCTTCAACGCTATTGTGGATTATACTTTACGTAATGATTTGCCGATTATTCGACGATCCTATGGTGAATACACACCCCTCACTATGATAAGGTGTTCACGGTAGTACTCGGGAATAAATATTTTTATTTACAAAACATAAATAAATGTGTTCCCCCGCATTTAAATAGTCAATAAAGTGTTTTTAAAAAATTTTTTTGTTCTAATTAAGAATAAATTTGTTTCCTCAACAACAAAACAAGCTATCCGGTTAAACTTTTCCGTATTCGATAGCAGTTTGTTTGCGCTTTAAAATTAATGTAAATAAGTTTATATTTATTATATCGAGTGGTTTTTAACAATTTAAAATTTAGTATTAGTCGTTTAGCTTGATTTTAACTTTTTCGGTAACACAAAACGTTGGTTATATATAATTTTATCATATTACTAGCTGACACATTACAATTTTTTGTAAACATGTTTTACACTAGCTGCGCTAACTTCGGTATTAGTTTTACGGTAACTGCTCGTTATGCCAATATTTTCATGTAATTGCAAATTTGAGGAGTGTCGGCGAACTCTCGAATAGTAGCACCCTAGATTCAAAATTCGATTTCTCAACGAAGAAGCAAGGTATTCGGGATTTTATGAATACGATAGCGCTTCTTTTGCACTTTTAAATGAGTGTAACTGAGAGTAAATGGATCAAGTTTTACCGATTTTTTAAATATATGTGCCGCATAACCTAATTTTACCTCTTCCGTAGGATAAAAGTTGGTTCTACATAAATTCGCAATTTTACTATTTAGAATGTTGCAACTTTTGTCTAGAAGGAGCATCAGAGTCCTATGCTCAAAAAAAGTCATTTTTATTTTATTATAAACCGATTTCGTTTTTAAACTATCACGCTTCAGTTACACACACTCATAATAGTATGAATCGAAGAAAGAGACAATGCAAGAGATGCCTATTGTCATTTACCACATTTCGCTTAACCAGAGGTTGACAGCGTAAAGCATCAGCAATGCAATGTCTTGCTACTTCGCACATACGTTCAGCAGATTTGTAGAGCAACCTTGTTTTTCTAACTTAAGTTCACGGTTTATTGCCTGGAATTTTGCTTCCATACTTATTATCCTTTGTAGTTGGCTTGGTTTTGCCTCCAAAATCACACATTTTTAAGTGAGCTTCCCTTTTGTGCTTCGGAACGTGGGTATACGTTTTGTTTTGAAACATGCGAACATCGATAAGTACACATCCTGGTAACTTTAATTTTTATTTCTCGTCGACTAAAAAACTTCACATATTCTTTCGTTGACACTCGAAGAGTGTCTCATAGTGCTAATGCATACTGCGAACGCCTTCAGTAAATTCTCGAAATGATCTTATCCAATTGGATCTGATGCGGTTTCTACATCAAAACGAGACAAATCGGTCGTCTTTCCAATCAATAGTCATACATCATAAATACAGTATCCTCTGACAAAGGATACCTTCAGAATAATGTTGGGGAATTTTGTTGGTGAAACGATTGGAGGCAAAATGATTGTGAACACTTCTCTTGGGTGATTGATCTAACCCACGTTCTGTATGGGTTTCTACATCCCATGTTGGTATTAAAGTGCAATCATGCGTTATGGCTGAAGTGGTAATACATTGCGTATTGTTAATGTCTTCCATTGGTCGGAAATTATTTACAGAGACCCGAAAAGTATATGAACAAAGAGGAGAACAGTTATCATAATTGTCATTCCTCACTCTGATAGAGAAATACCAGATTCGCAAGCAACGTTGCGATAATAAGCTCTACAGTCGTTTGATGCGGCGTACGATTCTTAGGCCAATTAAAACATACATTTATATCTGCCTTATGCATGCATGATTCTTAATATTAAGCCAATTAAAAATTATATAAAATAGAGTGGGACGTTGGTTAGTTATTTATATTTGCCTTATACAAGCAAATCGAGTAAAATACTCGGGGTCTTTACTTAATGCTCTACGGTATATATTATATCAATCATGTAAACAGAAAATACGGCTTCCTTTCATGCCCTACTAAAATATGTTAGTTTCTGATCACCAATAGAAAGTTACAATTCGTCAAGTTATGTATTCAGTCAACTTACAGAAACCGATTCATTTATCAAATGCAGTTTAGCGTCCTCGAGTGATTCCATTTATTCATTAAGATATAGCGTGAAACAGCGACAGTGAAGTCAAACGTATCGCAGTTTCTTCAATTCATCAATTTTTGCAATAATGAAATGTATATGTATTGCTATTCAGTAAATCGGCATTTTCGTAGTAGTTTTGTACAAACTTTTTGTATATGCTAAACTTATCATCCAAAACGTACGATATTGCAACTGAACAGAAAATCTAGTTATTTTATTATGACAAGATTGATATTATCAAACCATTCCAAGAGTTGTCTACAGTTCTTGTTATTAGGCTTCAATGTATCAATGATTCACTATATTAACATCAACTCGCGTCTGCTACCCGTCTCTCAACATAAGTCGAATCTACTCATTTAATTCTTCATAGTCTCGATCACATTGTTGTAAATGTGTATTGACTTAATCCAATGTTACCTTGCGCGTCTCTGATAATGACACCCTTAATTACTCCAAGGACATCATGTGGCTCCGGCATTGACAATCGTGGAGCGTTACTCGGTCCCGACATGAAATCGCTATTAAAACACAACGAACGAATGAATAGCATAAATCCGAGAGGTATAAAATTGTAGTTGCGTCTCGCCGATTGAACACAGTCATCCCAGCCATACTTACGTGGGCAATGGTATTGCACCATGTCGACCGGGTTGGTTCCATGAGAATGAAGTTAGTTGGATTGGAATTGGTTGTACCGGATTACCCTGCGCATCCCAGCCATTATTATTTGCATTTGTGTACTGATAATTAGATGTTGATTGCCCATTTAGCTGTCCATCCGGTGGATACTGTGGATAATAACCCGGGTATGTCTGTGTACTATAATCTTGTTGATAACCTGAAGTATCTATCATCAAAGTTCGATTATTTCATGTTTCTGATGAATTGATAACATTCGTAACATCAACAACCACCTACCTGTGGAATATTGTTGCTGATCAGAAGAATATTGCTGATAGTCATATGCTGTTTGTTGTGTTTGTTGTAGCTGCGAGGCAGGAGGCATTGGAGGCGACTCATATATAGCAGGGGTAGCTTTAATCGGTGGACCCACAGGTATTGGTACAGGCATTGGCGGCATCGGTGGTCCCCGTAGATCCCTCCCATGTCTCTCGTCGGGCCTACGATCGTATACATCTCTGCGTCTATCATCGTAACGATGATAGACATCGTCTCTCCATACCATTGGTGGCCGATCTCTGCCAAAAGGTAACGGAGGAGGTGGCGGTGGTAGAGGACCGCCACGAAAGTCGGGCCTTCGATCAAACTCTCTTCTTGCGTATTCGTCTCGACGATCTCTAAAATGATCGCCGTCAACTCGTCGATCTCTGAAATCCCTCTCATCACGGACTGGCCATTCCCTTCTGCGTGGAGGGCCTTGCGGATACGGGGAGTATCTTGGGGGTCCACCTCTGGGCAGCCAATACCCACCACGCATATGGCCTCTACCTCTTGAGCGTGGTTGCTCCGAGTGGCCTCCATGAACTGGTGGAATCGCTGGTTCTTTTTTATTACATTGTATCCATATACGAAGGATCATCGCCATTTCTGTAAATTACAGATATTGTGATAAATAAATCTACCCACTCCTGACAAAGTTAATCATGTTCAAGAGATTTATAAAATAACGAGTCGATTCATGCTCGTCATCTTGAAGACTAACCTGGCGATATTATCCCATTGTTTATTAATGCAGACCAATTATTATCGGACACCTCAGGATATTTAGCCTTCACTTCATCCATTGCATCTGCAATACATTTGTAAATTGTAGCCGAGTCTTCCAACTTTGCTTTCATTGTCTGTGACGATCAACAGCATGCACATTAGACAACTTCCCACAATGTACAAAGCTTTGAATCAGAATATGCACAAATAATCGATTAATACATGCATCTGAAGCCATCCGGACATCTAATGCTTCCTTGCCTTTCTAGAGTAAAGCGTGAATACTTCAGAGAAAAAATAAAAGTAAATTAGATATCAAACATGGTAAACTATCCGTCTTATTCTTACTTCGTCTAATTCGTTTATAATTCGATCTCTCGCAGATTTTAATATAATCTCGTTGCAATAGAGCTTAAAATCAGCATGTAATTTCTTTCGATCGCTAAATAATACAGTTGTATCTTCCTCTGATTTTTTCGTAAGATATCCAGTGATATACTACATATCCGTTCAACAATAACGAAGCTTTCTCAGTTCTCTGTAGTTATATCAATTTTTCGCTTTACTTTAATCTTTATCTATTAAAAGCAACAGTGCGTTACCTCCTTGCCACATTCCACCAATAGTATATGAATAGGCTGATTAGACTTTTTGGAGGAAATCAGTTTCTTCTGTGGCATTTGATCCGTTGATTGCGAGGACACATTTCCTTGGCCAGTCACTGCAATTGGCTGAGTAGCCTGCGATGATTTGGCAGTCTCATTTTGTATACTATTGGAGGAGTTCGTAGCTGAATCTGCTGCTTGCCCCGCAACGGACTAGAGAGAACACAACAGGTAACGATAACAGTTACAAAAGGTCTTGGGCAAATAAACCATGAATGGTGCTTTACATATATAAGGAGTATAATTACCTGCTCAACAGACTCTTGTAGTCCAATGTGACGAGGCGATGGTTGAGGTAAACGGAGTTCTTGCGCTAAAGGTTGCCCTTCAGTCTGAATGATTGTCAAACTGTCGTCTTGTGGACGAATTGTAGAACTTGACAGTTTCTCGTCTAATGGCAATTCACTCTGTTGTGATTCCACTTGATTATCGGACAACGGGACTTGTGGCTGGGGATTATTGGTTTGCAAGTTAGACAGCGACGGATCGTCTGACCGTTGTATATCTATTTGGTCTTGCAGTTGGTTGGGTGGTTGTTGTTCAGTTAGAGTGTCTGCTGCTTGTTGCGGTGGTTGTATAGACGGTAGATTAACTTCGGTACTTGTCGTTTCGACCATTCCTGGCGTGTTATCAAAGGTGTATTGAATATTATCGCAAAATCTTTTTGCTGTTCAAATCACGCGTTAAGTGCCACGGGATCAGGTTGAGTGATTTAAATTTTATGTTAACGTTCTGGCCGATTCACATTTTATTTCACTATTATCACATAAACAATGTTGATTAGATAGACGGGTGCGGCCCAGATGTATTAATATTCATATGTCGTTTAAGATATTGTTGCCATAAAAGCCAATACATGGATATTTAGAATAATGGGCTTCCATTAATATATTTTTTTCTGACATTCCGTGCTCTTCAGTCCGTCACTTCCTGCGGCCAAGTGGCGAGCTGATTCCTAAGACGGTTTTCAGTTAACAATAAAGGTTGTAATTGGGCTCTTGTAGCTTTCAAGCAATATACAGTCCAACTAATCCTCTAGTCGAGACAACATTTGATTTATTTGTGACTAGTGAAGCTATACATGTATATACATAACGCTAATAAGATCAGATAAACACTGAGAATAACATATAGGCTACTATTACACAATCATTGTAAATAGCAGATTATTATAAAAGTCTTATTCCACCAATTTAAAAATGTGTCTGAAGTTACCTCCTTTACTCCATTACTTTCTTTAGTCAACTCCTCTATGCTTGAGAAGTTCATCATAAATATGCACAAAAATTAAAACTTGTTTGACTTATTTAGGACAGAATAACATACCACATAATATGTTATGAGCTCAAAAATACGCATATATTCTCCTACGGAGGATAAAGACGGCACTTCTGACTTCAATCTCTTTGCAGATCTGCGGATACCAATATCAATACAAGAAATGCATTCATTCCGTCGACAATCATTCACCGACAAATATTCGGTGAAATGATGCCGGAAAAATTGCATACCAATTATTTAAATATTATGTTTTAAGTTTCTTGGCAGTCTCAACACTAGCTCCAAGAGACTTGTGAGAAGAATGTTTACGCCAGTGTTGGAGAGTTTTTCCGAATCGTCGAGAGTATGCTTTCTGGCCTGTTGTAAAGGACCTTCTGATGATTCCATCATATTCATCGCATCTACATATTGTATAAGGTCGGTGGCCAGTGCGCCAGCCTTCTTCGATACTGGATCACCAATTAGAATGCTAACGATTCCGAACACATATCCGACGAGTTTAAACGCTGTTGACACTCTTTCAACGAGAAATTTTCACTCTGAATTATGCCTGACAAGAGCATGATTCGAATTATATATTCTTTTAACGTTAACCTATGACTGGAACTGGTGGTATCTGACCGAAAAAATGTAATGCGGATGTGTATGTCGGTATGTTGAATGTTGACACTCGAATATCTCGTGATATTTTCGCCTTGACAATTGCTGCATAAGGGATTCACACAACTTCTTGACGATAAAGTTTTCTGTTGCTAGGCTTGTTAGCTTCTTTTACTCTTCCTCATAAGTTTTAATCTCATTTACTATCTCAGTATATCTTATATGAAGAATATTTTTAAAGGATTCGAACCCAGAATAACTTTCGGAGATATCACATTAAATTTATGTGGTGTAAGGATTAGTTTATGAGGAGTCGAGAAGAATTCTAACTTTTGTTTTGTTTGGTTGTTAGCTCGTTCATGGCTATCTGTCCAAAACGTTATTTGTTCCTCGTCGAACTCCACTTTTTCATTTTTCACTTTGAGCGTAAATTTAATTCTTGTGGGTGTACTAATACCTTCATAGTCAGTTTTAAGTTCCACTCTCTTTACATCTCGTTCATATTTCTAAAGTAATCAAAAAACACATGCAAAACATGCAGACTCGCACTTTCGAATGAAGCACTGGCTCTGATATTAGCTAACTGTTCCCTATATTTCTTCTCAGTTGTTATTGCTTTCCAGATTTTGACCTCTTCACTTTCCGTTATTTTGTATTAGTTGTTTCATAACAATAATAGCGAAGGAGACGTCTTCGGGTGGTTCAACTTCCAAGATCAATTGTAAATCTTTCGCCAGCCAGGATTTGACGTCTCTTAGTCTCAAGAAAGTCAACAAAGGACCAGTCGTATCACATGTTTGCAGAGAAATAATTGTCAACCCTGTTCTTAAAAAGCTCTGGGACCAATTCATATTGTGAAGTTTATTTAGTTTATCGTTATTTGTAAAAGTTGAAAAGATTTACGCGTCTCATCAGAAACGTGAACACATTTTTCACGCACATCGTGTCAATATTACATAAAAATCTCTATCTTCTTATTATTAGAGCATGATGATACACTTCTTGTCTCCACCTAGCCCAATAGTGCGTCTGGCGGGTGATGAGTGCGTCTCGGTGGAGGATGGAGAAAATATTCGGCCTTTTGCTAGCCCAATAGTGCGTCTGGCGGGTAATGAGTGCGTCTTGCAACTGGCTGATATGACTCCTATTGCAATCATGTGATGAACCAGCAGCTAAAAATCAGGCGAAAAATACCGGAGCGAGAACTTTCTTTTTCTTAAACGAATTTTTGACAAGTTGAGGAAGAACTTCTAGCGTGGTATGATGAAAATTTTTGACCACAAGACGCCAAAAATGGTTGACAGGTATATTCCGCATTCACTTCATAAAGTATTTATTAAATAGCTCAATATTTATCGCGTAGCGTGTATTCCACGAACCTCGACATACTTCACAGGTAATTGACCGGCTACTTCCAGTTATTCATTGTGCAGCGGCTAAAGATCGGGAAATTCTCGAATAATAAAGCCATCATCGAAAACCTGCTTAACAGCATGTTGATCATGGCTGTTATTACTACAAAGCCCAGCCCATTCGGGATTAGATGGGCTGTTATTCGTAGAATCCCCATCAAGATTAATGAAAAATATATTCGGTCGATTCGAGGGACTTATGCATTTCGACGTCATTTATGACTTCAGGTAACAACAACAATTTATAGAAACTTAAGACACGACTTGGCGCTTTACATTTGCCTCGTCAAAGATGAGAGTTATCAGGATATCAGGTGACTTGACGTGCGATTTCTATTTTTCACGCAAATTTTTGTCGTCAATTCAGAAAAAAAAAATCACCGTATCATTTTGATACGTTTACTGTGTAACATAAGGCTGCGAAATCCATTAAGTGGACATGCAGTGTAGCCATTATCATAAAATAGAAATTTTACATATCATTTTATGCATATTACAAATGATTGTTGACAAATCCCACGACTTCTTCCAATAATTTCATTTGATGCAAATCTGCCAAATCCACAAGCCATTGCAAAAATCGATCATCTTCTCCCGTTTTTCCGACTCGACGTCCAGACAACCAATTATGAACCAGCTCAACAAGTGCTCCTTCTATCCTCCACCTTTCATAATCCTTGCCGCACTGAGTACAACTCCATGATGCTTTCCTCTCTTCAGATACGAGGTCAGAATCACGAGCAAAATCTAAATTACGGCTGGCATAACACCCACGACAATCAATGCGGACGAGTTCGAATCCCCTAATAGGCCCTGCTAGCTGAGCGTGTGCGCTCATGTTCGTAATACTCATTAATTTCTTACGCAGATCCATAACTTCAAGTCTTAATTCTTCATCAATAGCAAAAATATTACATATAACGTTCGCAAACTCAGCTGCAGGTCTCGTCGATTTAGCAAATGGTGACCCTGGTATGCGCGGGAACTCGAACTTATGCTCTTCTTTATGAAAATTATCCATAACTTTCAATAGCATCTTCTTGAAGATTTCAATAACTGATGCACTCTGTCTTATCGGTTTACTATGTTGTTGCCATGCCATCTTGATATATGCAGTAATGATTGTATTAAATTGTTGCCGTATTTGATGGGGGAGATATTCCGCAATAATCCAATGCATATCAACTGCAGGCAAATTCTTATTAGTAATTAGGATGCCGCCGTAGTTATGTAGATCGTGCCATTGGAGATATATCCAGTAGTCAGTTCTATGTAGTTTGAGGTTTTTAAATACAGACTTCTTCGAAACAATATCCTCTGCTTGGTTAATATAAGGAAGAGCGTTCTCAAGCGTTGTCTTTTTTGTCGCAAGTACGAATTTTGAGATGTCAGCATGTACGACGGTACATCCAACATCGGAAAACTCATCTGCCAGTTGCTTCGCAGCCTTATACATCAAATAATGTACTGCATAATCAAACCGGCGGTCATACATGGCAGATCTACGAGTAGTAACCCATCGTCCAAAATTATTAAACAGTTTGGTTGTCAACTGGATTTCTCCGGGATTAGTTTTAGCGCGCAGTTCTCGTAGCATATCACGAATTATTGGTAATATCTTGTGGGCTGCAACATGAGGTATGCTATCCAAACCATATGCAAGTATAGCGTCAATTGCTAAATTATGCACATCCATTGCTACGCATATCGTAGTATAAACACCCGGCGCATTTATTACAGCATCTGTGAATTGCCTTCCGGTACGTAAATTATCTTCACTGGTTTGCTGCCACGCAGGCATCTTCTGATCGGGAAAAGGCCAATCAACAAATCCTCTTTTCTTTAATCGTCGTGCCAAAAATACGTCTAAGCAGAATATTGCCCAATCATCACCGACGTTACAAACGGGAACGTTGGCATATCGAGATATTTCAAATCGCTCAGTTAATAAGGCTCCAAGACTCAAGAAGCTGGTTATCGCCTTGCGTGCATTCTGCCTCCTCCAATCAACGGAAATCTGCAAATCTGACATGTCTGGTTGTAAGCACAGGACGGGGAAGTCCCTGAGCGCAGTTAAATCGGCCGCCAAAATTCTGAGAGCTAACGGTGACTGAAGAATCACGATAGTGGGACGTGTTTGTTGTTCTTTACAATAAGACAGTTGATTGGATATACTTGTCAAAGTCTGCTTAATGTTCCTATAATACGTTACGTCGAAGGTCAGCTTCTGAGAATAAACGAAAAGTCTATTTTTGCCTTGGAGAACTTCCGGGCAATCTTCTTCGAAAGTATGATACACTTGCGTGTATAGTCTTTCCCAAATCGAAGTCTCTCGCAAATTGTCGACACTGAATATCATGGCATCGTCTGAGAAGGACGAAAAAACGGCGAACATCTGATGATCGTCATCGAGCATTGTATGATTAATGTACAAGTAATCAAATTCATTCCCAATTAAATGTTTTCTGCTACGTTCTAAATCAATTATGTGATTGATGTTTGCGGGTAAGCCTATACTGTTTGTGTTTTCATCGTCTTTAGTTTTAACTCGTCTTCGCCTTATTGAGAATCCGTCGGAAAGCCATTTAATTAGCTCACCATGTACGTCACTCTCAATAACATGAATCGCTTTCCAGTCATTAAATGCAGCGCGCCGTTTACAAATGCTCTTGATCCATGCGTTATAATTCGTGAAAGGATCGCCATTCTTACAAAATCTTTGCCGGTAAACATGGGGCTTATTGTTCATCGTGTTTGAAAAAGATTTCTTCGTTATTCTGTCAAAGACGTTAGACGGTTTACGTAACTTACGTCGCAACGTATCTACCGAATTATCCGTTGCAGAATCACTGCTGATCCCCTGTTTACCGTGTGTTATTTTAACTTGTTTTCTCTGAGAAGTCTCATAGCGATCATCCGCGAAGCGCTTCATCCCAAGCTCGCTACCCACTTCGGTTTGCTTCTGACCAATATCGTCATCACTTTGCGCAATAGTGACTACATCGTCAGCAGGTTCCAGGGTGCTTTCTTCTGGGCAAGCTTCATCATTTTCGTTTTCATTCATTTCTGGTCCGACGTTCTTGTCATTGTTCTCCATACAACCAACCTTCGCTTTGTGTGAATTTAAATCAACTGGAAATGACTCAGCAAAGAAGGATGTAATAAGTCGCTGTCTATCATTCTGAGACCTTTTCGATAGCCATGTTGGATTCGACACACGAGGAACAGGATTGACAATATTTTGCAAGCCAGCAGGTATTGTAATTAGTCTTTGAATAGTTGCATTAAGTCTTTTCTTGTAATAATCCCAATCCAATATATCTCGAATGTCAATATCCCCTTCGATATTGGTATTTCGCAGCCATTTCTTCAAACATGCTGTTTTAATCTCTTTGCTTGCCGAGAATATCGCTATTGGAATAGCACGTTGACTCACATCATCGTCTTTGCTTCGAGGCTTCGAAATAATATACTTACATGTCAACTTTTTGTCTTTCACCATGCTATCACCCAAAAAATTCCTGAAGACGTTTTGCTGCCGTAATTGCTGTCGATTTTTGCTCACCGTAGTCCTCCAGCGAACGAGACATGCTTTTCTGCTCGCATATCATATCAATCAGGTACCAGTCTGGATGATCCCTTGCTTCACTCTCGAGAATGTCCACCCACGCGTTTGCGATTTCTGCTGCTGATTGGTAACAGTCCTCGAGCGTTTTACCCCGCAGAAACGCGTCAAACACAAGCTCTTGAAAGACTTTGATAAGTTTCAATTCACCCCGTCGTTTTACCTCGAATCCCTTTAGTTCTGCGAGACTACCATCATGATTAAAGACCGCATATCTCTTCTTTAATAATTTATTTTCTTCAGTTGAAGCAGGCAGTATCATTGCACGGTAAGGTCCGTCAACTTCAAAAAATATACTATTCTCTTTCCTTGTCTTATACTCATGCGTTTCTTTGTTGACAAGTTCTTGGTACTGTTCATTTGTGTATCGCTCATGAACCATTTGATTTAGCATTGCACATGGAAACGAAACATTTAGCTTCTCCCCATTCTTCAATGTGAATGTGACATTCTCGGGGAATGTCTTCGGAAAGATACACCAAATTCCATCCGTATCCAGTTCGAGAGCAGCGCCAACTCGCTCTACCAATTCTTTAGCAGATTGAATAATAGATGAGCCTGTTAAACATACAACACCTCCCATTTCCATAGAATACCATCGGGCTCCCTTTCTCATGACATATCCATAGAAGGAATTCAAAATACACTTGTGAGCAAGCTGCAATGAATCATACAGAATAATTTCTTGTCTAGCCGTCTCAATCTCAGATACATCGCGGTTCTTGATCGCCTTTTCTAATCTTTGTTTAGAAGTTTTGAGTAAACTTTTGTATTGATATCGTCTATCACGAAACTCACGTACGGTATCTACGTAAAATGGGCGTTCGCGTTGACAGACTATCGCTTCCCTTTGTTCGGACATAGTTTCCTTTTTTTTCTTGTACTGTTTCAAAGAATACTGTCCAAGGCGTTCCTGTATGTATTTTGCCTGTTCATTCGTTGTAAGCTGATGCCAGTTACGCTTAGCGTCAAACGAGGTCTTCCCTGGAAACGATTCGCTTTCCAATCGATCTAGAATGCTCTTATATTCTCCGCGGTCTGTGGGCCACACCTCACCACGCCATACCCACTTCATGCGTCTATCACACGTCTTTCCTGGGACATTAAAATCGCAATTTGCACAGACATTCTCGCTAACTATTGAATCAGGCTGTAATCTATTGGTTAGTATAATGTTTGGATACATGGCGGCAACATCTAAATGATATATTAGGGGTTCCGCCCGCAAAACAGGGTTATTATCACGAATAATTTCAAGCGTTCTTATAACGCTTTGTTTGACCTATTGTTTTGTTAATGAAAATTAATCATGTGGAGAAGGAAGCGCGCAATGGAAACAATTATGCTTACTTCTTCGTAATCAGCAATTTCGGCCAGTTTCTTCTCCCACTCTGTTTCGATACCAAATCGGAGTGTTTGGTCCACGCTGGCGATAAGCTATTGTCACAGTCACCAAATGTTATCAATAGTAATTTGGCTGCATGGATAAAAATCTAGCAGTACAGTTGTCACATAATTAAGCAACGATAAAAGACTTACTTTGTCAATGCCATCAGAATTAATAGTGAAATCGACTGGTAAATCACACCGATAAACACCCGCCATCAATGCCTCCACATGTCCTCCTACATATGTCTCACTTTGGATGAGTTTCCCGTCTGGTCCGCCTGCAGTAAACTTGTGGAGTTCATCTCCATGTTTATGTGGTATCATTATATCTGCTTTATACGCAGATACCTGTGCATATTGAAATTATTGTGAACAAATGTACTTGCAGGGCGTGTGTCCTTCAAATGTCTTACCATCAGCAATGCCTCACATAGAGTTCCGGATCCCTTGCGCAATATATCATCGGGATTAAGCGGGATAATATTACATAGCGAGAAAATAAATGGATGAACGTATTTCTTGTATAGATAGTAAGTTGCTACAGCATCAGAGACCGAATATTGAGCTAACGTCTGTGGCCGTTCAACCGCAAATCTATGTGTAAGATGTATTAAGTCATTGCTCATTACCAAGTTCATGGAAACGAAGAATGTGACAATACCTAGTCATAACTTCCGGGTCCAGTTCGTCGGGATTATAGCCTAACTTGGCTTTGGCAACGGCTTTGAGACCATGGCTACCGACAGGTAGGTAACTGTCTCTTCTAACCCAATGTAAACAGTCGATGTGTACACACTGCTTGCTAATATAATATTCATCAAAGCAGTAAAATCCTATTTCCTATACGCGTATGTTCCAACCATTATCAGTAATTATGACAATATTAATTAAATGTCAGATAGATCACATACAGAACGCATGTTAATTCCATATTCGTGCGCTCTTCGTTCGACAAACGGCCAATCAAAGTTATCGCCATTATAAGTTACAATAATATTCGGTTTATATTTACGAATTTCCTTAAAAAACCGTTGCAACATCGTCCTCTGAAAATGCTCGACATTAATACCAATGCTGATGAGGGATCAAAATTGCACAACTGTAACAATGCTGATACCTCGTTCTTTTCATTAAATATCTTGAACTCCCCTATCATGTCTCTATCAGGGGAGTAAGCAAATGGCTCGATATCTTCTGCGACCACTTCACGATTGATAATTAGGAACCCCTATTAAAGAATAAGGTCAAACTATAATGATATCAAAATGGATTATATAAGACATCCCACAATTACCGACCATTCCATCGATCATGTATGAGACCATCATTATCATGTCTCTCGCTGCATCAGGGAACATCAAAGGCAGCTTCGTTGTTTCAATATCGAAAGCCAACACAACCAGATCTGGGCGATCGCCTCTTTCATGAATTGGTGTCATCTGGATGTTGACACCGTCTTCTCTAGCAACAGCCTCTACTACGTACCACATCCCAACCCGAATATCTGTAAATTCAAGGATATCACATCAGCACTGTCTTTTACACAAGCAATCTATCCCATGTATCAATACGTGCCATCATCCATCGAGACTCGTTGGTAATAAATTATATCATTTTCTCTTAATTCAACAACATCTTTATGATTCTTTAAAAGTGGGTGATTTCGCACGTCAACCAAGTCTTGTACATTGCGAAAAATGAGTTTTAGAAACGTATGACAAGACGCAACAAGATGATTTGCCTGTAATCAAATGGTGTGTCAGAAATTTATTTCATCATTATAATCTAAACAAAAAATATTAATGCTACCTCTTTTAAATCTTGTTTCTTGTGCTCTTCAACTATCTTATAAATCAATTTGTCAAACATTTTCATTAAAGCAGAGGCAACTTCTGCGTGCGTACCATCCTACACGCGATAATGTGTTAATTGAGGAAAACTTAAAAAGCCGATTAGATCAATAAAATCATTACCTTGCATCTCACGTAGAAATAAGGGTTATAAAAACGTGTGCATGTGAAAAGACCACCATCCTCCTCAAAAAAGTAATATTTTACGGCTGACCTTCCACGAATGTTTTTCTTATCTTCCAACATAGTCTAACGTCATGGTAAAATTAGCATTAATCATAATAAACAAAATTAGATAATAAATTGCCTTACAGTTGTCATATTAAATAACCACCCTATTCGTGGTTGCCCATGATCGTACTTGTCGAATCCTAACTTAAGGTCAAGTTCCTCTTCAAGCTGTATTCTTTGCTGGACACTCGACGAGTATTTCTTTGCCATGTTATACTGTCGCGGAACTTGTCAAGTAAAACACGCGTCTGCACAAGTCGGTGCTGAACTTCTTACACGTGACCTCAAATTATTAAAACATTCTCGTAAGGCGATCAATATGCGACACTCATGATGTCAAATTCAACTCCAAGGAGACGTTTTATAGGCCGGGCAAACGCTAAGCAAATACGAGTACCGGAGAACCCACAAGAGAGCATTGTGGGAAATATTGAAGACAGTATTGCTCCAGGTATTTACACATTTTCCCAAAATTAGACATAGTTTTCGATAGATATAGATGCGGGGAGTATAATAAACTTTCTTTGCAAACCGTTGATGGAAAGCTCACTGCGTAATGAACTCTTGATAAGTTCGCGAGACGCCGTCGAGGCGACACAGAGCTGTCAACCTAATTCCTACTGAGATACTCGATGATCCCCTTTTAAATAAAGCCATTGAACAGGTTTAGTCAATGTTTCCTTTTTTTGTGAGTAATAGAGAGGCTGAAACCATCAATAAACGAAGTGTGCATACACTACTTCGCCACAAGACTTATCTAAGGAATTTCAATAACTAGCTTCCTTCGAATTATAATTTCGAACTTCATAAGACAATCTGGCATGTCAAGCAATCGAATGCAACTAAAGGTGACGATTTTTCTAGCTACACATTTACGATCTATGCTCAAAGCTTAATAATACTACTAAAACAGTTGTTAATTTCTTCTAGTCGCTCTTCAATTTCCTGAAGGTCTTCTAATGTTTGCCTGTATAATTGCAGACATTCTCGAGCAATTCTGTGGAGTAGAGACGTTAATCATGGGTGATGTCACGTACGGTGCATGCTGCATCGATGATTTTACGGCGAAAGCTCTTGAATGTGATTTTATGGTTCATTACGGGCATAGCTGTCTGAGTTGGTATTTTGATTTTGCGAGATGAATATATTCACGACTTTGCAAATGCTGACATCTTATTACATTATGGCAGTACCTGTGGATGTAACTACGGTGAAAACTTTATACGTCTTCGTAGATATTGGAATAGATACTCAACATTTTATTGATACTATCCGCAAAAATTTCGATGAGGGGAAAGAATTAGCTATTGTTGGTACCGTGCAATTTGTCTCCTCTATACACGTAAGCGTTTTACATAACTATCTTAAAGTGGACATTGAACGCTATGTAATTTATATCATATAATAAGGCTGTTAAGAGAACACTCGAGCAAGATTACAGACTTGTTGTCCCGCAATCTAAACCTCTCTCTCCCGGGGAAATCCTTGGATGTACTTCGCCGAAGCTGGGAAACTTAGATGCCCTAATGTATGAAATTTAATAAATTTGTATTGTAAAGTAAAATACTTTACTCACTATGACATTTACTTTTATATCACATAGATACCTTGGTGATGGGAGGTTTCACCTCGAATCTATTATGATAGCAAATCCGGATGTTCCTGCTTTTCGGTATGTATTATGAATTGATTTTTCTGGTGACAAAAGTGATAGGTCAGCGTGTCATGACAATTACGTAGGTACGACCCGTACTCAAAGAAGTTTACCCGTGAATATTATGATTATGCTGATATGCATTCCTTGCGTAAGCACGCTATTGAAGTTGCCAAAAAGGCCAAAAAATTTGGCCTAATCCTGGGAACACTGGGGA